CAATCCAAATTTTGCTGCAGAATCATACAGCCTGGTGGGATTTGCAGTAGAAGTCAACGAGATACTTTTGTCCATTCAAGTACCTCATGACTGCAACAGAAAGCCACGTAGCCTTGACGATCTTAAACACTGGAAAGCATCAGAATTTCGTTTTTTTGTTCTTTTTACTGGGTTACCTTGGCTTCGAGATGCTGTTCTTAGCAATGAATTTTCAGTAGATCATTACTATCACCTTGCTCTTCTTACCACTGCTTTGTGTAAATTGCATTCGGTTCCTTTGTCGAAAGTTTGTGTTGAGAAATCTCAGGTTTTATTGGATAACTTTGTAAGACTCCTTCCAAATCTTTATGGACAACAAGAGTGTACCTTCAACAGCCACTCTCTGCTTCATTTTCCTTCCCAGGTACTTGACCATGGTTCCCTGTCTTTCACATCTGCGTTTGTTTTTGAAGTTTTTATAGCACATCTCAAGAATTTATACTCTGGAACAAGGGGCAGTTCCAAAACAAATGGTAGAAAAACTAGGATTTAGCCAGACCTACAAAGAATATGTTAAAGGAGACTGCAAAGATAATCCTGCTGCTGCTAGATTTGCACAGCGTCTGCTGCATGAAAGTGAAAATGTCAGAATAATAGATGGAGGAATGCCTCTTCATGAGCCCGTGCTTTACAAGAAGCTTGATGATCAGTTTTATAATGTCCTTCATGAAAAATTTGGTGTGGGAGCTGATGCAGAACACTTGGTATCCTACCGGCTAACAAAAGATCATGTTACCTTTCACAGTACAATGTACCCCAGAAGAGGCAATTCCTGCAGTTACCTCATAGAGTGCCATTCGCATGGAAGGGTGGTCTTTGGCAAAGTTGTGTGTTATATTTCTTATCAAAATATAGCTTACGCGTTACTACTGAAATACAACATTATAGGTTTAAATGTATGCCAAGGGCTTCCCCTAGCCTGCTACAAGATGTTGTTCTACGAGAAATTGTCAGAAGAAATTTTCTGGGGCAAGATTTTATGGAAGTTCAGGAAACAAACATTCCAATTATTGTTAACTGTAATGCTATTGTGAATAGGTGCTTGAAAGTTGAAGGCGCAGGGAAGGGAAGACTGTGTTGGACACACCATATAAACATGATTAGCTGAATATTAGGGACGGATGACACCCACAGATGTCATTAAATGCAAAAATAATGGTAATACCAGTAGTAATAATAGTAATGCAACTACTTATAATAATGATAGTAATAATGATAATAATAATAATAATAATAATAATAATTCATACAAATGGATGCACTGCCCCATTGACACCAATAATGATAGTAATAATAATGATAGTAATAATAATGATAGTAATAATAATAATAATAATAATAATAATAATAATACTAATTTATACAAATGGATGCACTGCCCCATTGACACCAACTGAACATTAATGTTGGTTGTAAACATGCGATTTATAAACCAGGTTTTAAAAAATAAGAAACAGACACAGAAATTGGAACACACGGGATTCAAATGAAATTCAATAGGTTTTGTAATTTGCACTCAGGAGCTGCAATAAGCTAAATTCAGAGGGCAGCTGCTTTAATGAAGGAAACAATAATATTTTAATCTGTGTTTAACTATACAGCTCTTGGGTTAAGCTTAATGGGGCCAGTATCCTAAACCCTCTCTGATCTGTTTATTGAGGGAATTAAACTGGAATTGACACTGTTCTCTCTCTTTTCAATGAAAGCCCAAAAATTGTGATTTGTAAGATAATGTTAACAGGTAGTTTAGGCTAAGCCTGGTTCCAATCATTTTTTAAAATATTACAGGGTAAACAGTGGCTTATTTACAGCCAATCGGCCAGTATTCCGCCTTATGTAATTAAGATCTAGACTAAGATTGTATAATTATTTTTGAAAGTTGATCCTAGTAAGATCTTGACTTTCATACCAAACCTTCATTTACAAGAATAATAATATAAGTTTTCATTTAAAAGAGATGTTATTGAGGCTCATCCTTGGTGTGAGCTAGAACCTGCCACACTTGCAGATGACGTAAAATAAACTTTTTTAAAAGATATCTGCACCGGCAAATTTTGCACATTTTTGCATCATTTTTAGTGGTTATTTTATGGATACTATATGTCACTACACTGACAGTATTTCTCAGTTCTTGAGGAACTAGAATATATCAAAATAAACTATGTTATGTCACTCAAAAGGTGTTAATTTAATTACCCCTTAGGGTGGCACGGAAAGAGAAAAATCAAAATTTCAGAAGAATCCTTAGAGTTATTGTTAAAAAAGAAATGTAACACAAATAAGGACGTAAGATAGAATAATTTTGTGTTTGACAACGACACAGCTCCAATTAATCCACCCTCTAGGGTACAATTTGCTATTTTGTAATTTGATCCACATTTTGACATCAATAACTCAGCTGTACGGCAATTCTAACCTTTGGTCAAACACAGATCTGTTCATTAACATGCTCTTTGTGTATTTGCCAAATTTCACGAAGAAATAATGATCCATTCCTCCAAAAAACTGGTTCCCGTAAGTCAAGGTAAATCGGTCACGCGGTAATTAACGCTTTTCCGGTGTAAAAAAAGCTTATTTTCCTCTCAAAATCAACTGTTTTTGCTCGATACTACCATCACAGAAGCAAGAAAAATCAAGTTGGACATACAGCGGCGGCAGTTTGTCAATGAATCCAAGCAGTAAATAGATTTTGTTCAGCACATCAATAGAACTTGATGCCGAAAAGAGGAGTCAAATTGCGCTCCTGCCGTCCTTTTTCTTAGTCGTCCTCCTTTCTTAAGTAAGATCTTGTTAAGTTACTGTAAAAATCTTAGTAAAAACTTCCTAGTAAGAAACTCTAAGATCTTCAAGAAAACTTAATAAGATCTTAACAAGAACTTAAATAATAATGGTGCCAAAATTAAGTTTTCAACTAACTCAGATCTGCATGGCCCTCCTTAAAAGATTGAGTTGTATTAATCACGTTGCTGATTTTATTAAGAACAAATCCTATAATCAGAATTGAAGTTGCAAAACGTACCATAAAAAGTTATTAATAACGCGTTTATGTCGGTGTAACCTTTGAACTTTTTCTTCGTTTTGTATTTATGTTTTTCTAGATTCCATTTTGTTGTCCTCTTAAAAGTTAATAACATCCAGTAAGATCTTAAGGGTGACAAAGACATTAAGATATTGACAAAATCTTATTAAGAAATCTTTTAAGATATGATATCTTAATAAGATCTTAATCTTAATAAGCATCTTACTAGATTCTTACAAGATCTTAATAAGATTTCCACCTGGGAAGACAACACTTCTTACTTTGCAACATTTTTTAGAATTCTGGGTTTCTGAACCACAACTAAATAACAAATATATGCTTGCCAAGTTAAATAATAATAGTCAGAATGATTGTTGACTAAACGATAACATGCTGAACAAAATATTTTGAGCTATTTATACAGGGCTTCTGATATTTCGCGCAGTCGCGGACCCGCGAAATTCAGGTATTTCTGCGAAATCCCGCGAAATTCCCCCAAAAAACGTGAAAAACCGCGAAATCCGTCAGAAATATTTCCAAATACATGTCGGCAAAACATATTTAATACTTATCTTGGCTATTATATCTGTTTTATTCACCCCAAACGTCCAAATTTATCTTGAAACTTTGTCAATGCAACGAGTAAACAATGTCCCAAAACTACCAGCCGATTTTTCCGCGAATTTTCCCTGAAAATCCCGCGAAATTTTGCTTTTTTTTCCGCAAAATATCAGAAGCCCTGTTTATATTGTGCACATCATGTTAATTGAAATAATTAAAGAAAGCATATACACAATAACATTTTGTTAGAGGTTTCACATACACATAAAGTTAATATTCAGAATTTTGATAATCAAAATTGGGGGAATCTTTTGTATAGGAACCTCTTATACTCTCCAGGTTGAACAGGTTCTTCTAAACTTGAATATTAAAAAGCCAAATTTCAGTCTGTAGGTTCTTAATCTTTGGGTTCTTATATGAGGGTTTTTACTGTACTTTGACGTAAATTCACTCAACTGTTTTTCAAGCAAATGGGAGATTATTCTGGAGAATCTATATGTCAATATTGGGGCCTAAAGGGTAATTTTTTGTAGTACATGTAATAACGTCACTGTAATGTATCGATAGTGTTGTCTACCGGAAGTTGTGTTAGCGAAAGTTCTCGGATACTGTAAACGTGCAAAGGATCATGGATTTTTGTGTGGGCCATGCTTTCCGGGTGTCATGGCGGCCGAATAAAGTGTAGTTTCTTTCATAGTTAAATCTGGTTTATGACACTGCCATCCGGGCGTCATTGTTACATTGGCGACGAGGATTCAATTCGTTTTGTGAGGTAGTGGATGTTTTGAAAGTCATTTGTGCGGAAAGTCCTAGTATTTTGTCAGGAAGATGACGGACAGTGGAACCACTTAGAGTACAACTTCAAGTTCACAAGCTTTGCCAACCGCGACGTTTGTTCCTCTTCTTGATGTGGCCAGCCTTCCTCCCTTCAATCTAAAGGAGGATCCAAACACCCTTGCAGTTCGCTGGAAGTTGTGGAAACGCTCGTTCAGTCTGTATTTGGTGGCAAAAGGGATTACGAAAGATGAACAGAAAACCGCATTGCTGTTGCATACTGGAGGGTTGAATTTTCAGGAGCTTTATTACACGTTATTGACCGGTACGGATATCAAGCCGTTCGCTGAAAGTATGGAGTTGTTGGATAACTGTTCTGTACCGCAGTTGAACGTTCCATTCGAAAGGCATCAGTTTTTAGGCAAATGGAGCAAGCGTCAGGAGAGTCGGTGGATCAGTGTGTTTGTCAGTTGAGGCAGGAAGCGATCTTCTGCGAGTTTGAAAATGTTGATGAGGCAATAAGGGATCAGAGTATTGAGAGATGCAGGGATCCCAGACTTCGCCGTAAGTTCCTTGAGAAGACAAATGCTACCCTGAATGATTTACAAGATTTGGCTCATGCGCAGGAAGCAGTGAACATGCAGGTCAAGGCTATGGATCAGTCATCCGGTCAGGTGAATGCTGTTTCCGGCAGACCTCACAGCAAAGGAAAAGTAAAAGGGACAGTGCAGGGTAAAAACAGAGGAAATAATCCTGGTAAAATGTCTGGTGGTTCTCAGGAGACAAAAGTGAGAGGCTGTTTTCGCTGTAATTACACTGACCATAAGGCACGTCACCCAAATTGCTCTGCCCGTAGCAAGAAATGTAATGCATGCGGCGAGATTGGACATTTTGCAGTCTGTTGCAAAACAAAGGAACGCAAATCTCTTAAAAGAGACGACGAGGGAAGGAATAATACACGGGGTAGAGCCTATGAACTATCAGAGGATTCAGCCACTGACCAACAAGATTATTTTGCATTTACAGTTGGAGTCGGTCAACCTACAAGTGGTAGTGAAGTTGATTTGAAGGTTGGAGGCGTGACGTTACCAGCGGTACTTATTGATTCTGAAGCGTCGTGCAATGTGATTGACCAAGCAACCTGGGAAGTTTTAAAGAAGCAGAGTGTCCAGTGTGAGTCCAAGAAATCAAGCAAAAAGTTGTTTGCTTATGGACGGAAAGATCCTATTGACGTGATTGGGACATTTGTGTCTGAGATTGTGTGCAAGATCAGTGGCAACAGTTGTGTGGACGAATTCACAGTGGTTAAAGGTCCAGGAAGATCTCTACTCGGAAAGAACACTGCAGAGAAGTTGGGCGTGTTAAGGGTCGGTCCAGATGTGTGTTCATTAACTGTTGAAGGAAGTGATGCCGACATCCGTGAGAGGTATAGAGAGGTTTTTACAGGGGTTGGGAAGCTGAAGGATTTTCAGCTGAAATCACATATAAAAGACGATGTCACGCCGGTTGCACAACCCGTACGGATACTGCCATTTGGGTTGAGAGCCAAGGTTGACGAGAAGT